AAAAAAGGTGAAATGCACTTCTGTCACAGGCTGTCATGTGAAGCCAACAAACAGCAAGGGGAGGTGGAAGAAGGACACGCAACCATCATGGCTGTGATCTGCGAGGGATGTTGTGACTTTCCCCTGTCCTTCCTCTTCACGCTCGTGCATCGCATGTGCGTTCCTCACCCTTCTGCAGTCTGGCTCTGCCCCGTGTGACGCTCTGCAAACCAGCTGCTTCCCCTCTTACTCATGAGCCTGAGCTCGAGGTTACTCGAAGGCGTTTGCTCTCAGAATCCCTGTAGAACCCGATCGTAGATTGGGGCTTGCAGGTGTAGATGATTGTGAGTAACTGGTAATAGAATTGGGCTCGTTTTGAGGCCGCAGAGAAGAAAGTGTGATTGTCTTGTCTCAGCAATGTGTTTTCACATCATAAACCATGAGCCATCGTGAAAACACAGTGATCGTGCAGAGCTGTTGGACAGAAACGTGCAAATTCCAGTCCCTCTCCGTCTATCCCAGGCCCTTCTCCAGACTCCAATTAGCTTCCCAGCCTCCCCCATCCCCACCGTTAGACCTTCAGCAAAGTTACAACCAGCTTTGCCTGCGCCCTCGAAGACTTGATTCGATGTTTAGATGTTGTGATACTGAAGAAAGCCTGTCCTTAAAGGGCACTTCTCAAGCACTTGAGAGTCGGGCGCCGTTAAACGCAAAGTTGTGTCGCTGTGAGCACAAGTGAGCAGGATTAGACCAGGGGTTTTCATTTTGACACGTTCACAGTGTCCTCTCTGCTATATGAGCAGGACAAGATGCAAAAAAACCTCTTGCAGTCGTGCTAGCAATGCAGTTTTCCTGCTTTTTACTTTTTTTAGGTCAAAATCTGAACAGCCAAATGGATACAAGTGGGGAAAAGGGAAAAGCCAGATCTCGGCTGCTTTGTACCTGCCCATCCACGCTGCATGACTTTGTTGTCATCTCTAGGGCTGTACAAGCTCCTGGCGTTTGCCACGGGCTCAAGTTCAAGTTCCAGCCCTTCCCCTGCCAGAGCATCCCCCTCTGTGGGGAGAGAGAATAAAATAAGCTGTCCCAAAACTAAAGCACGCCACCGATTTGCGAAGGAAGGTGCTGAAATGGACCGGTGGAACAGTTACTTGATGTGATAGATAAAAATAATTTGGAATGTTTAAACGTGAGAAAAGCTTCCCTGCGTAATGGATGTAATTCCCTAGTAAAATGACATCCGGCTGCCGTGACCTGCTGTTGTGCTCACGGGGTGATGTAGCTGGAGGACGCTGGGGGCACGTGGGGTCTTTGCAGAGTTTATTTTCCAGAGTTTTACTGTAAATATATGGACTTCTGTGAATGCCTTCCCTAGAGTTCGGGGAGTTTTCTTGCAGAAAGGGCAAAAAGCGTGTTCTGCCGTAACGCTTCTAAACGTCAAATCCACGTCGGAATGAGGCAGGAGGCAGAGCTGTACACTTTGCCACATTTTTTAGTCTTGAAACCCTTTTTTTGGAGGGTTATCTTTTCCTTCGTGAAGCTGAAAACCGCAGAGGAACCTTCATCCTGACCAGCAAAGTTCCAAGCAAATAAAAGCGGGGATTACGGTCGATGGCGACTCTGAAAGGTCCTGTTAACTTTGTGTTGTGGTTCCAGCCTCGTGTCCCCTCTCTGCCTCCTCCAAACAAAAGGCCGCTGTCCTGCCGAGCCGGGTTCGCCTCTTTGCACCTTTCGTAGAATCATAGAATGGTTAGTGCTGGAAGGGACCTTCAAAGGTCATCTAGTCCAACCCCCCTGCAAGGAACAGGGATATCTCCAACTAGATCAGGTTGCTCAGGGCCTCATCCAACCTGGCCTTGAACGTCTCCAGGGATGGAGCATCCACCACCTCTCTGGGCAACCTGTTCCAGTGTTCTACAACTCTCATGGTAAAAAATTTTTTCCTAATATCCAACCTGAATCTACCTCCCTCTATTTTAAAACCATTACCCCTTGTTCTATCACAACAGGCCCTCCTGAACAGCCTCTCCCCATCTTTCTTGTAGGCCCCCTTGAGGTACTGGAAGACCGCTATAAGGTCACCCCGGAGCCTCCTCTTCTCCAGGCTGAACAGCCCCAACTCTTTCAGCCTGTCCTCATAGGAAAGGTGCTCCAGCCCTCTTATCATCTTCGTGGCTTTCCCAGCTTATCCGTGGCAGCGGTGCGCGGGAACGCTGGGCTCGGCGTCGCCGGATGGGAAGAGCTTGTCCTGCTTCTCACCTTCCCTGCTCCTCTGCCTCTTCCCGCTGCCTTTCTTGTGCTGCTGGGAGCTGTTGCATCCCTGGACTGGTGCAGCTCAATAAAAGCCGAGACGGTTTTCTGCGGAGTCAGCAAAACCAGGCAGCGAACAGAGGGGGCTGAGTGCCAGAGCTTGCTTGGGAAGGTGGGTGGGATCGCTGGGAGCAGGGCGAGGGGTGGAAGGAGGCAGGTGGGTTCTTCTACCAGCAGCTGAGTCAGTCTTGAAGCTTTGGGTCTTTTTTTTTTTTCCCCTCTTTTCTGTTTCAAATCTCACATCCCTACTTTTTGCTGTCCAGGGGAGCCTCTGGATATCCTGTGAGAGCTATTTCTTCTCCATGACAGCTCTGTAGCAATTTTTTTGGTCTTGTTTGGTTTGATCTGCCGTCTGGATGCCTGGGAGGTACCTGTGCAGAGCCCTCGTGGGGAACAGGTCTTGCCTTCGCCCAGAGCAGCTGCACTAATGATTTGTGCTTGTGAGTCACCTCATCCTCCTCGTCTGAGTTGTTGGAGGCAGCAGAGAAACACCAAACCCCACAGATCCGTGTGGAAAACACCACAGCACATGTGGATGAAGTCAGGAAAGGAGGTGACGTGTGTGTTAGGGAATGTTATGTTTCCGAAAATGTCTCTGAAAATGAACATTTCCCACGTAGCCCAGGAAACAGGCACGTTGGTGCAGTTGCCCTGATAACTTTTCCCTTTGGACACAAGCTCGTGCATCTTTTTTTTTTTTTCCTTCATGCTCCGCTTTTTCTGTAAAGCGCGTGCTTTAATTAAGAGAAATTGGGAAGCACAAGAAAGGTTTCAGTGCAGCTTTAATTTCCTCTTACCAGGGACGCGGTGCGAATTTTTAACTTCTTGTATATTGAGGGATGTGCATTAAGTGCCAAACTGGCAACCATATGTTGTCACAAGATCTTTAATTTGAATCCATCCAGTTCCCTGACTGTTTTTTTTTGCCGGTTTTCCAAAGGAAACAAATCTTAGGCAACTCTTCCGTCTGTCTGTGAGCTTTTCCCAAATAACTTTGGAACCTATCAGCCCGTTACAGGCAAAGGTGACAGAGCCAACGAAACCAGCCCTATATCAAGGTCTTAAAATGGTGTGAAGGCTGGTGGCTGGGAAGGGAATAGTGTCCCCCAGTGAAGAAAAAGCTGTAGTTTGAGCTCAGCTGTTTGATTCTGCTGGCTTGCCCAAGGAGGACAGGGTGTGCACCAGGAAAGGAAGGGATCAGAGAGTGTGTGGCAAGAGCTGCAGTTATTATGAGGCAGGAGAGGATTTTATGGCTGAAAGAAAAATCAGCTTGAAAAATCAGGCTTTGTGGAGCAACTTGTTGAATTTAAATGACCACGAATGTCAGGAAGCTGATGTGTTGGAACGTTTTTTTGATAGACCTTGTGCAGGTCGTTTGTCAGTGAGCTAGAGGTTTCTTACAGCCAAAGCAACTGTGAGTTTGGATGGGAAATAAGTCTTGCCTGGAGGTGTTCAAGGCCAGGTTGGATGGGGCTTTGGGCAACTTGGTGTAGTGGAAGGTGTCCCTGCCCATGGCGGGGGGGTTGGGACTAGATGATCTTTGAGGTCCCTTCCAACCCAAACCGTTCTGTGATTCTCTCTTGAAGGTTTTCAAACCGTACCAGGCATCCCAGCATGACATGTGCCGGTTCCACTCCGAGGACTACATAGACTTCCTGCAGAGGGTGAGCCCCAACAACATGCAGGGATTCACCAAGAGCCTCAACGCCTTCAACGTGGGCGATGACTGGTGAGTGCCCTGTGCCTCCCGTGAACCCGCAGTCGGAAAGGGTGGTCCTGCACTGCTCGTGTCCACAGAGCTCTTTTCGAATGTCCCGTTTCTTATTTGGTTTTAACCAGAATGAGGTGCGTGTCCCTCCTGTGTATGTTACTGGAACTTCCTTGATTCCTTTCTCTTGATCTTGCAGTCCTCCTTTTTAGGTCTATGGTTAGGCTGTGAGCTTGTTGGGTTAGAGACTGTGTCTCTGCTTGTTCTTGCAGAGCCTCCAGCTCTTCTCGAACATGCTAACTATTTTTTTAAATAATTGCCTGTCAATTTATCTACCTTAATATGTGCGTGTTGAATTCAAGACAGCTTTGAGAGCCTGATTTTCAGGTAGAACTAAAGAGATACTCATGCCTCTGTACAAAACTACATGAGATCTTATTGAGAATATTCCATTCCAGTCTTTCATTCATGAGAGATGAAACTTGAAAGAAACGTGTGGAAGGGCGCTGTGGTGACTGAGGAGGTACCAGTATGTCTTGACTGGTTGAGGGTTGTAAGGGCTGTCAGAGAGGAGAATGTCCTTAGGTATTCTGTGGAGGGGAAAGCTGTACTGGCACGGGAGGAGTTACGTTGGCTAGAAAACAGTGTTATTCCAAGCAGGTATTAGGATAGCCTGGTTTTTAGTATGTAGGCTGAGAATCAGAAGACTGTTCTGTGTCCTTGCTGCTCTGATGATCAGAAACCATCTTCTTATTGGAAATAAAAGGGGGGGAAAAAAAGAAACCACAGTCTTTAAGCTGTTGCTTGTCCATGTATGTAATTCGTGACGTGGTGAGCGAGCTGGTGACACAGGGGCTCCATGTCCTGGGTCTCTGTGTTCTCCTGGTGCCAGGGCTGGCTCTGCTTGGTGGGATGGATCAGACCTCAGTGCTGTCTTAAGGGCAGCATCCATCTCCAGCTGCAGCATATCACATGCTGGGCTGTGTGCTGGGAAGCAGGAGGGGAGCAGGATCTTCCAGACAGAGCCAAGGGAGAGATAGTGCAGAGCAGACCAGTCCTCCCCTGTCCTGATGCACGTCCTAGCTCTGGGCACGTGTCAGCAGGGCTGTGGGACGGATGCTGGCGCACGTTGGGAGCAGGGGAGCCTTTTCAGGACTAGTTTGGAAGTTTTGGTAACTGTTATCAAATTCACTGAGTTTCCCATTGTGTTTGCAGCCAGACTGCTTGCCCGCTGGTACTCAGTGTGTTATGAGCAGGGTCAGAGTGATCCCAAATTAACTCTTTCACAGAGAATGAGTTTTGATCTTGCTCAGGTAATGTCCCTGGACAGTTTTGTTCCTGGCTTTACTCTGGAAAAAGGGGGAGGAACGAGAAGTTGTTCTGTGTTTGAATCATGGTTTCTTTTTCTTTTCAGCCCAGTGTTTCCAGGCCTCTTTGAATTTTGCTCTCGCTATACTGGGGCCTCCCTGCAGGGAGCAACACAGCTGAACAACAAGGTAACTGAGCTGATACGCTTATCTCTTTGAAACACAGGCTGAAGCCAGCTGGTTGGCAATTTAAGGAGAACCTCATGGATGTGTGTTGTAAAACAACACAGCAAGCACTGCTGCTTTGCAGTGTAAATACCTGGCGCCGTAGGGCTGTGAAGCCTGAGACCATAACTGTTTAGTAGGTGTTTAATCCAGATGGAGTCACAGGATGCTGCATGTACTAAAGTCACAAAGTACTCTCAGTTCCACAGAGCAAACCCAGAGTCTTCCATGAACCAGCTGCTGGGAGACCTCAAGATTGCTGCTAGGTCTCTGCTATGGAAATGTGTTAAATGAGGTTCCACAGAGGGTCTGAAGAAGAGGGTCTCTTGGGAGGGTGGCAAAAAAAAGCTACAGAGGTTTGAGTCTTTTGGAGACCTGAGAAAGGTCAAATGAGCGTGAAGAACAAGTACAGGAACAAACTGTGTGTGCCAGGAGCTCTGCCTGCTGGCTGGAGGGGCAGCAGTGGAGGTGGGGGATGATCTTTTCTGGTCTAACAGGGAATGCAGCGCACAGGACCGATCCAGTAAGGACACAATTAACCAAAACCATTGTCTGGGCTAACAAGCAAGACAGAGATTCTGAAAGGCCTCTGTAAGAGAAGGAAAGGACAGAAGGGTGTTTGTGTGCCGCAGTGCTGGGCAGGTTGAAGCGGGTGCGCTGGGGAAGTGGGTGCAAGGTGGTTGTTACCACATTGTCACCTTAAACTGACTTAACTTTTCTTTCTTAGATCTGTGATATTGCAATAAACTGGGCAGGGGGCCTGCATCACGCCAAAAAGTTCGAGGTAACGAGGCAAACCCGTGCACTTCTCCGTGTTTTTTGAGGCCAAGGCTCTGTGTTGATCCCTTTGTAATGCTGTTTGGTTTTCTCTGTCTTGCAGGCTTCTGGGTTCTGTTACGTCAACGACATAGTTATTGGCATCCTGGAGCTGCTCAAGTAAGGACATGGGCGAGTGCAGCACTGTCCTGGCCGGTGCATGGCTTCCCTCTGCTGCTTCACTGTTCTCCCTCTCTGTTTCCACACCTCGTTTACCTTTCTAGAGTCCAGGGAAAGCCAAAAACTTGGGGTTTTTGGCCTCGCCTCTTTAGGGGAGCTTGAGAATTGCAATGTCTGACTCCAGTTTTGTGGCGTGCAGCTTAAGGGACACAGAAGAGTTCTTCAATTCCATTTCTCATCCATCTGTGAAATACTCATTTCAGGGTCTCCTGAGCCTTGGCAGTGTTGCCACAGTGAGCCTTTTGTAGGTAAACACAAATTATGGCTGACTGGAGACAGTTAAATGACTCGAATCTTTCATGATTTGCTCGAGTGGCTTAAGAACAGGACTTGAGGAACACATGGATGATCAAAGGACACTTGCTTTGAGTGGAAAAGGTCAGGGTTTGTTTGGGTTTTTTTCATTTTAGAAAATGAAAAATAAATTCAGAATGGGAGGAAGAGTTACTGAAGTACCTTCTATTTCTTGGATTAATCTGTGATTTTTATTTTTTTTTCTGTACTCTCAAATGCCCTCCATGTCGCTGAATCTGAGATAAGATTTTATGGAATTAAAAAAGATTTGGGGTTGACCAGACAAAGTTACATGACTGGTGGCAAGCATACTCACTCTCAAAGTCAGGTTTATGGGAGATAGTGGGCTTTCTTGTACCTCTTTCCTCTCTGCCAGTCTCCCCTGCCCTGTGTTTGGAACCTCAGGTCGTCACTGTGTGTCCCTGCGCACCCATTTTCTAGTCTCACAAGTCCAATATGCCAGAGGCTTCAAATACAGCCCAGTTACCCATCATGGGAGATTATAATATATCCCTGCTCTTTTGTTTCCTGTTTTCAGGAACCATTTCTGCAACAGGTGGCTGCATACATGAATTTACTTCCCACTGTGAGAGTACTGTGGTGGCTGTGCACCTTACCAGTGTGCAAGGGCTGTGTATATGCATCCACCTTTTCTCCTTGCTGTCAGCTGTCTATGGGATGAATAATCTGGGCTGTCTTAAATTGTTTATGTCTGTCTTGGGAGACTGAGGCAAGGTACTGATCTGCTCATTAGCACGGGTCAGCACCATCAGCTAGTTTGATCAGGTCACTGCAGACAGGCTTAAAGCCATGGTTCCAAGGCAGATGGCACAAACCACGTGCTCTTCCTCTCTGTTTCAATGTTGTCATGGTTTTTCAGGTCCCTCCCCAGTCCCCTTGGGTTTTGGCATGGGTGCCAGATTCCCTGTTCTTTGTGGACTGGCCAGATGCAGTATTTCCTTATAAAAAGTTGGAGAAGTTCTCTCCAGCCGAGCAGACAGCAGTAGAGCTGATGGGCAAGGATGGCTTAGGGCCATGTCTCCAGTGTTCGACAGCACATCAGCTTTGACCATTACCCCAATGCATTTACTTGTGATGATCTCCCCTTCTTCACCCTCTGTCTTTGTGACCCAGCAAGTTTCTTCTCCAGTAAATTGACTCCAGCCTGGTGTTCTTGGTGCTAGCCAGCTGGAACATAGTGCTGCCAGTAGTCTGGTACATGGAGGAATTAAGTGTTCCTACCTCCTCTTTGGCTAGCTTACCTTTCATTTCCTGATGCCATTAAAAATCGGTGACGCTCCTAAATATTAACTAACAGCATGTTGCTTGTAGAGGAAACAAAAACATGCAACTTTCTAACACCCAGGTGGTTAAAATAGGTTTTCTTCATCATCTGCTTTCCAAGGCGTTTCTGGCCCCATCTGAAAACCTTTTATTCCAGTATCTATTTCCAAGCTGGGAGAGTTGGGGTTGTTCAGCCTGGAAACCTTCTAGCAGCCTTCTGTTATCTAAAGGGGACCTACAGGAGAGCTGAAGAGGGGCTTTGGACAAGGGCCTGAAGTGACAGGACAAGGGTCAATTACTTTAAACTGAAAGAGGGGAGATTTCATTAGATCTAAGGAAGAAATTTTTTACAATGAGGGTAATGAAACGCTGGAACAGATTGCCCAGAGAAGTTGTGGATGCCTCACGGCTGGAAGTGTTAGATGAGGCTTTGAGGGGTTGGAACTAGATGATCTTCAAGACCCCTTCCAACCCAAACCATTCTGTGATTCTGTAAGCACATCAGAAGAAAACATTTTAGTGGTGAGGCATGTTTGACTGGATACAAGTGTCCTGTTTCTAACCCATTCGATGTGCCTCAGGTGGAAGAGGTGAGAACTTTCGGCAAGTGGCCTTGCAGGTAGATGTCGGCGGTGGTTTTCAGAGCACCAGGTGTTACTGAGACGTGGGGAACAGTGAGATGCAGGCAATAATGGTGCTTTTCCTCCTGTATTCCATAGATACCACCCACGTGTTCTGTATATTGATATCGACATCCATCACGGAGACGGTGTGCAGGAGGCTTTCTATTTGACGGACCGTGTCATGACAGTGTCATTCCATAAATATGGGAACTATTTCTTTCCTGGGACAGGTATGTATTTTCCCTTACAGTGTGAGCCTGGCCTCGTTTCAGAATCCTCTGAAAGCTCTGCTGGAGTATAAAAGTTTAAAATCACAGAACGAGGGCTGCAGGGAGAAACAATGGAAGAAAGGACATGGAAAAGCAATTAGAGAGGAACACAAGTATCGTTATTTGTGAGACAGAGGGATCCTAACTAGGTTAAGTGATCTCAACCCCGACCAGATCTGGCCTTTCCACACCTCTGAAGCCTCAGAGCTGTTGTGACTGTCCTGTTTTTCCCTGGCCAGGTGACATGTATGAAGTTGGTGCAGAGAGTGGTCGTTACTACTGTCTCAACGTGCCTCTGCGAGATGGCATCGATGACCAAAGTAGGTGCTCCCTGCCCTTTCCCCTTGCCCAGGCGTTTGCTCCTCCTTCTGCTCCAGAGCTGTGACAAATCTTATCTTTCTCTCCAAAGGTTATAAACACCTCTTCCAGCCAGTCATTAACCAGGTGGTAGATTACTATCAGCCCACCTGCATAGTACTGCAGGTAAGAAAGCAAACCTCCGTGCACATATCCATCCCTTTGCATATCCATCCCTTCCAGAGGCTGTAGGTTGGAGGGGGCTGCTATCAGTGGGTTACCTTCTCTTCCCAAGGGATCAGGCTTGGTGTGTCCTAACCGAGCTGCTCTCTGTCCCCTCTGGGGAATGCGAGTGGCCAAGGGGTGGGGATGCTGATGTGTGCCTGGAAAGCCGTGCTTCCATAGCCAAAACTCAGTTGTTCTTTTTCTGTTCCCCAGTGCGGTGCCGATTCCCTGGGGTGCGACCGTTTGGGTTGTTTTAACCTCAGTATAAGAGGACATGGGTGAGTACAGCCGGGCTGGGGCAGAGCAGGTCGTTTGAAAGACTGTCCTGGAGTCTGAAGGGCTCTGATGAGTCGTCTGCTGTGAGGCTTGAGCTCTGTGTTCAGCCTTCCAGCAGCACCAGCAGTTTTTTGGGGTTTTTTTAACTCTTGCATGACAGGAGGGGGGTCAAGGCGCTGCACCCTAGCGGTTCGCGGTAGCGCATGGTCCAGGCTCCCTGGGTGGAGGCCCTGAACTCCAGGTGTATCACACCAGCCGTGGTGGTGTTTGGGTGCATGGTGGCATTTCTGATGCATGAACGTGTGCTGCAGTTAACAGCTCTGTTTTTTTTGTTTGGGATTTCTAGGGAGTGCGTGGAGTATGTAAAGAGCTTCAACATCCCCTTGCTGGTACTGGGAGGAGGTGGTTACACAGTCCGCAATGTGGCACGATGCTGGTGAGTCTCTTCTCTGCTTTTTGAAGGTCACTGGTTGAGCAATTGCTGTGGGCTTTGTCCCTGCGTGTGCCATGTAGTTTTCTTTGGACTGAGCTCATCTCATTCCGTTTTCAGGACTTACGAAACATCGTTGCTTGTAGATGAAGCGATTAGCGAAGAGCTCCCGTACAGCGGTGAGTTGGAGTTCTGGTTTTTCCTCATTAGCTGAGCTAAAGTGTTCGTTATATCAACTGAAGAATTAGCACTTCTATTCTGCATTGACTAGAGATAAGACCAGGGCCAAAGTGACAGCACTTTCTGATCTATGAGATGGTCTTAGTCTTCCCCTCCCCACCCACTGTCAGACTTTGCTGGGCAGACACACCCTGACTGTGTCGTGTCATTTGGATCGTTTCCTATTCAGTGACCTGAGCGTTACTTTTGCTCACTCTGTTGTTTTGTATCATTCCTTGTGTTTGCAGAGCTGTACATCACTGTGCTTTTTAGGGTCTGGTCACTCCTAGCATGGTGGGAGGGCGAGCTCTGCTCTCTGCAGAGCAGGGCCGGCTGGCTCCCTTGCCTCCGAGCTGTAACTCTTGCTCGTTCCATCACAGAGTACTTCGAATACTTCGCTCCAGACTTCACCCTTCATCCTGACGTCAGTACGAGGATTGAAAATCAGAACTCCAGGCAGGTGAGGGCTCGCAGCCTTGTTGCAACATCAGCTGCCTGCTTCCAGCACCCTGTGGTTGATGCTCTGTCCTGCGAAACCAGGTAGAGCCCAGGCGAGGAATTCTTGCGAGGCAGAAAACTGGCAAAAAACAAGCAGGACTTTTCTTCTGGGATGTCAGAAAGTCTCATGGCATTTGAGAACTGTGCTGGGTTGTCTTACTGTTTTCTGTGCTCTTTCGAGTCTCAGTGATTGAATTAACTCTCCCACCTCCTGATGAATAGCTTTTTGCACAAATTTGTTTCTCATGGCTGCCACATAGGTGATGCAGGCAGGTAGTGGTGCTGACAGTTGTGGCTCCGTGGAGGCTGCCAGATCTCACTCTGGTGATCCCTCTCTGTTTTTTCTGTGCAGTACTTGGATCAGATCAGGCAGACGATATTTGAGAATCTGAAAATGCTGAACCATGCTCCCAGCGTGCAGATCCATGATGTCCCTTCTGACTTGCTCAGCTACGATCGCACAGATGAGCCCGATCCAGAGGAAAGAGGCTCTGAGGAAAACTACAGCAGGTACCAGATCTTGTTCTGGAGAAATGGGCTTCCCTTTCTGTCCCACTAGGATGGGCACATGATGTGCTGGAGACTTTCCTAGAACAGATATGAAACCACTTCTGAGTCTCTGGTTTTATCCAAGGAGCCTCTCTCTAGACATCTGTGGTCTCCTCACGTAACATTTCATGGGTGTTTGGGTGCAGGGCATCTTCTGACCTTCGGCAGTGTGACCTAGGCATTCTTCTTTGGCCCCAAGGGTGCCAGGGCTCTCCTTGCTGACGGTGATTGTCTTTTCCCCAGGCCTGAAGCTGCCAACGAATTTTACGACGGTGACCACGATAACGACAAAGAGAGTGACGTTGAGATCTGAGGGCTCCAGTGCGGGGCTCTGGACTGTGGGGGGTCCCGTATTGGACATGGGTGCTTGGAACAGGTAACTGGGCCACATAGAAGCCAGTCAGCCCTCCCCTCGTATTTGACTGCGTGCAGTGGCAGCAGAAACACCACCCCTGCAGGCTTCTGCTACCTGGAGAGGCAGAGAGCAGTGAAATGTGTTCCTTCATTTCCACCACGTGTCACGGTTCCAGCTGTCACCGCTCTGGGAAATGGAAATCCAAGTGGCGTTCGCGGCTGTGCTGTGTACTGGCCGGCAGCTGCACCACTGCCTTCAGAGCCTGGCCCGTGCTGGTTCCATCACCACCCGTAATCCCCGTGCAGGCTTCTGCCAGCAAGGTGGGAGCGGGAACGGTTGTGCCTACGATCTCTGCCTCTCTTCAGCAGCAACACCTGATACATCCTGCTCTCCCCAGCCCTCCACTCAGGCACCCAGTTGACTGTCCTCTGAAGCCTGCACTGACAGTTGCTTCCTGGTGTCCCTTCTAACCATCCGATGCTCCACAGCTCAAGGAAAACTGTTTGAGAAGACGAGGCCAATTGTGGGATAAGGATCAGGAGTGTCCCTGGAGAAGGGAGCAGCTTGATGGAGCAGGATGGAAGAATGTATGCAGAGCATAGTTTTGTTCAGTGCTCCCCCCATACTCGGTTTTGCGTTCACAAACGAGTACGGCAACACTTTGCCCAGTTGGACCTAACTTCCCTGGGTTTTTTATTCTTCAAGAGGCTAAAATCACTGTGGAACAGAGGTTTGGCTGCCCAGGTCAGTACATAGTGTGTCTTGCACCTCTCATGTAGCTTCCAGCTGTTTTCCAAGTTCACACATGGCCCTTCTGTGTGTTAGCAAGAGATTTGGGCTGCTCGCTCGGCGTGGAAACCATTCCCTCTTGGCTGTCCCAGGAGACGTCGTTCTGCTCGTGGGTGAGGGAAGCTGCTTCCTCCGAGCCTTGGCATCTCGCCCTCACGCAGCAGAGATTTCTCTTGGCCGTCCCTCAAATCCCAAACTTTGCTGCTCCTTCTCCCGAGGCGTCGCCTGGTACCTGTCGTGGTTGGGAGTTTGCCCTTTGGGGAGGCGGGAGGGGTTTAGCCTCTGTACTGTTCTGTTTGTTTACTGATGTCTTTAAACATTAAATGAAGAGGCAGTATTTTTCTTACCTGACCTGTTGTTTGTCTGTTTAATGCTCACACCTTTTTAGCTCCTGTCCTCCCAAGGATTAAGAACAAGCGTGTCATCCCTGGCAGGGTAGTGTCCTCCAGTATCTGAATGAATGGAGGGCATTCAGCTCCTCAAAATACGCCCTGGTGAGTTTTCACAATGAGGAGAGTGCCCTGAATTCCCTTACAAGAGGACAGGTGGGCTGGTGGCCACCCCTGCCCATGCCTCTGATTCCAGTAAAAGCTTTGTAGGAAGCTGCAGAGTTGATTCAAGAAACCTTCATGGGTTTTTAAGTATCGTAGTTTCCTTGAGTCGCAGTTTCCACAAGAGTCTGCTCTTTGCAGTCTCACTTTCCTAAAGCTCATGCTAGTGACTATTTTTCCTTCATTTTTAGACCTGCCGCTATCTCCCTCTTCACTCCCCCTGCCCAGGTCCAGGACAAAACCTTTATCAAACAAGCTCATGCTGGCATGTGTGGATTGACGTTCCTCTCGGGTCCAGTCTCCGCCAATAAACCTGCGGAAAGATGAGAGAGAGAGAGAAAGTAAAAAGAAGTATTGAACTGAAGGTATCTTAACGTGGGAGGTGAGGGCAGGAGGGAGACACCAACTTGCCCAGATCTGTTGATGTGTTCACAGGTGATGCCTGTACCTGGTAGGACATTTACACAACCGCCAGCCCAAGGCTTCAGCTTTGTGGGGAGGATTTAAAGCTTGACCACAAGTGAACTGCAGTTCGTGTAACTACACTGGGATGCAGGCAGTAAGTCAGTGTTACTCCCACTAGATGCCCGGAAAAATAAGATGTGGTAAGAGTTCAGGTGTGGAGAAGGATGATCGAAGGTATAGCACAGCCCCTGTGTGAGGAATGACTCAATGGACGAGGATTTTTCAGCTGGGAAGAGAGAATTTGAGCTGGGAAAGGATTTGTGAGGTTTATAAAACCACAAGTGACAGGGTTTCTCCAAATATTTAGATACTAGAGGAGCATCAGATGAAGCTCCCAAGTGCAGAAGGAGGAGGTTGCTTTGCACACACCTGGTTGAGCCGTGCAAGCGTTTGCCACCAGGCATTGTGAATGTGGTTTCAAAAAGGGACTGGGGATTAAAAAAAAAAAATAAAAATCAAGGTGGTTAATACAAAGACACTCTGGGTGCAAGTGGCTGGGGAGTGGGTGAGTACTGGGGAGAAGTGCTGCTGTGTGCTCACCCTCTGCTTGTACCCTTCCTGCGTTTGCTTTGCTCTGCAATTTGGCTGCTGCAGAGCGGGCGCTGCGCTAGGTGGGCCGTATTCTGGGCAGCTGTATTTGTTTCTGGCATTCTGGAGCCGAGAAAACGTTCTTTGGAAATCAGAAGACACAAAATGCTGCTCCAGCGACTGGCCAGGCTTGTGAAAAAGAAACGCTTGTGTCCGAAGAGAAGATAAACTTGTTTGGTTCTGGCTTGCCATCTCACCTGGTGTCAGAGCTGGCGTGTTCCCTCTGCTGCTGTCATCACCCCCTGCAGCAAAACCGATGGACAGGGAGAATCCAGGCTGCAGGCAGTGTTTGCTTTTTGGGGATAAAAAAGAGAATTCCTCCCCTTGTAATTCTCTCTTACCTGGGAAGTGGGACTGACCTTACCTTGCAACCCTCCCAGGCAGTTCTTCCTCTCAGCGCTGCCCCAGCTTCTTCTTTTCAGAGCCTTGCTCTGCCCTGTGTTTTGAAAACAGGGCTGGATACAGATTATCATTTTACCTGGAAATACAGATTATCATCTTACCTGGGTTTCTAAGAGTTGAGTTTGTTTTGGTTTTTGGAAAACAAGTTCAGTCTTTAGAGATACTTACCTTTTTTTTCCCCTTATAATCATATTGTTGCACTGCAGCAGAGCTGTCAAAAATAAGAAAACGTGCACTACTATCCGGTATTTTCAGGGCTGCTGGAGCACGCTAGCCCACTGTTTATCCCTGGTTGTGGACGCCTGGTGCTGGTGTAAGACCAGGGCGACCCCAAAACCCCCCTGCACCAACCTAGGTGTCCCAGAGAAGGTGACAAACCTGCACCTCCTGGCTGCTGGGTCGCCAGCCGTAGCTGATGCCAAATAACTGGTAGGCTGCTCTGAAACCGTAAAAGCTGGCAGAAAAAAAAACCCTCTAAGACTCATTTTGAAGTTTTTTGATGGCAGGTATTCTTTACTGCAGCGCTGGAGGCACGGGAGATAATTCCTCCGAACGTGCCTGTCTAAGGCTTAAATTCCAAAGCTTTTATTTGTGATACCTATGCGTGTTCATAACATTTCCAGGAATTCCTATATGTATTTAAGCTATTTCCCCATAACTTTACATATTTTCATGCATGCTCCCTGTCTCCGTGAGTCGGAGGGATGCTTTTGCGACCACTGATGGAATTTCCCTGCGTCCTTTGGTCTCCATCCAAGGTAATTCATCCATGTTTGGCTTGTTCTTGGCTCATCAGAGGATGGATGGGCTGGTGCCAGTGGAAATTAGGTGAGGGCTGGTTTAATTACCAGTGGGAGACAGCTGAGAGCACCTACTTGCCCAATGAAGCACTTTCTAGGGTGCAGGAGTGCCCTGAGTTGCAGCAATGAGTGGGCAGTGGGGGCCAGGGGTGGGTGAAAATGATTTTTGGGTGCTAGAGTGGGAGTTTTTCCCTCTCTTCCTAGTTTTTTCCCTTGTTTTTTGCCATGTCCCCCAGCGCTGCCCCTCTGGCTGGCAGCAGTGAAGACCCGAGGGAGGAGGCAGCGCCGGGTGATCCTGGCTCCTCTTGTGCTTCCTGCTTTTAGGGGAGTTAACAACAGCTTGGGGTTTTTAACCCCTAAATTCTTGCTGATCGAGGTGAAAACGTTTATTGTGCTGTTTTGGGGGTTAGTTTAGGTTTAGGTTAGCTCCTTAGGTGCTTGATGCACCTTTCTGATACGCCACTTTTCTTTCTGAAAAAAAAAAAAAAAATAGTGTGTTTTCATTCCTACTCTTTAATTTTGCATTTGCCAGGAGACTCCAGATTTAGGGAATTGAGCCCTCGACCTTGGGTGGTTTGGGTTCATGTCTCAGCCTGGCTTCCCGAGGCCCTTTACACCCCAAAAGCCAGAGCAGGAGGTGTTTGGGCTCCCATCACAGCAGCTGGCTGGTGGAAGGGGTGGTAATCTGCCCCCGTGAGCTCATAACAACCCCAAAATGCTGCTGGGAGCGTGGGGAGCGCGTGAAGTTGCACTTGTGTGTTTAGATAACCGAGTAATGCTGGTTCTTTCCAGGTTTTAGGGGATGGACAGACACCCCCATGTGTAACCCAAAGCCTTTCATATCTCCTCTGTCGTGGAAAGTGAAGAGGCAAACCACAGTGGGGACCGAGCAGAGTCCTGGGTGCAGGTCTGTGGTTTCTTTGTGCTGTCCCTGGGCTTTTGGGGTTAATGAGCCTGTTTGGAAGCTGCTGATTTTCCAGGCAGCGCTGACCATTAAAGCTTTGTCCCCTCTAAGGAGGGGGAAGAAATATTCACTTCTTATCTCCTTCTCTAGTCTCCCGTTCAGCCTGTTCATTAGTGAGAAAATCTCAAATCTCTCAATCTCAAAGTTTTCTCTTTGCTGCTGGCGTTGTTATTGTTATGATTTATTTTCCTCCTCCAAGGATCCCAACTCCTGAACTCAGATGGCTTGTGGAGGATTTTGGGAGTGCTGTGGCCTTTATTGGTTCTAGACTGTGTCATTGAGATGGTAAAATCTCTCTCCCAGTCCCTGACCCTGTTGGATTGGACAACCAGTAACAATTAGAGAGTAAACTTTCCTGACAGCACGCAGACACAAATGGTGCTGCCTTGGTTTACCTCT